ATCCCTGGTTGAGCAGGGGTTGAACATGCAACAAACCATGACTCCTGCCCCCTCCTCCAATTTAAGGAAGAGCTACTGCTGCTGGTTAACTGCTAATGGCCTTCTTTTCTTTGTGCTTTGTCACTCTACAGGAGTAGAGCTCAACTCCTGCAGTATATAGGAGAGGAGGAGCCAGGAGGCAGCATATAAAAGAGAATGAGCTGACTAGTAGGCAGTTCTCCCTCAATGCTGTTCTAGACCTGACCTAGTAGCAGCTGACGGAGCTTAAACAGAAGGTAGGTGAAATGAAGTAAGACCCTGGGGGTTTGTGGCAGTCTTATCATCTAGCAATGAAATGTTCTCCCATGACAATTCACCATCCACTCTTTAGTGTTCTATATGATGAGAAAGACACAGCATGGCTGAGTGGCAGCTGTGAGTTCTAATCCTGCCTTTCCACTGGCTTACTATGTGGTATTGGGAAAGTCACTTAACCTCTTAATGTCTCCTTCTTTAACACTGACAATACTTTCTGGAGTATAGTGAGGGTTAATTGTTGGTTAGCTAATGTTTGCACAGCCCTTTGAAGAGGTAAGGGCTATATATCAATGGCAAGAAATGCACTTAGGGCCTGATGCTCCACAGCCTTGCACTTTGGGTAGTTAACTTTTTTTGTGCAAAGTACATGTAAATAGATGGCATATCAGGTTGGGAGTCTTGTGTGTCCTCTGCATGGAGGTGAATGAAGCAAGGCAGCGAAGAATCAGGCCTTTAATGTATGTTTGAAAAGTGATGTTGCCCTGACTTCCCGCCTAGTTTAACTGCAGAGTTTAAAGGCCTGATTTGCAGGGACACTGAGAGCACCATTAACTTCAATATGAGCTGTGTGCTCTCAACACTTCTGAAAAAACGGCCCTTGTCCTAATATATAATAATCTTCACAACTGTAAAAACGTTCTGGGGGGTGAGATTATTCTGAGCTCCCTCTTAATAAATATTGCAGGCTGCTTAGGACTTCAAAAGAAAAGTCCTAGATTTTATGGGTCTGCCCACTTAGGTCAGCTACAAGCCCTCAGTTTATTTAGGGCTCCCCCACAATGCCAGCACATGACCTCTTGGCTCCTAATAGGATGTTGCACCATTAGGCGAGGACAAGACCTTATCATGGACTGATGCAATGTCAGGAAGTAGCGTCACAGTGACGCAACTCTTTCCTCCCACTGGCTAAAGACAAAATAAGTAGTCTCATGTCTGGGAGTGTTTTTAAAACCCAAATATTTCCTTGGGGGTGGGGGAGAAGGGAGAATGATCTTTGGCCTCTATTTAGTTATCTTTCCATTTATAGCTCCGCTTGCGGGGCGGGAAGGATTGTTTTCCTGTGTGTAACTACATTGCTGTACTTATCAGAAATAAACTGCATTAGTTCCTGCTGTGGTGTAAACTCGTGCCCAGAAATCAATTTGGTGGGGTTGGACAGAGTGAAAGTGTGTGTGTGTTTTAATTGATCTCTTTCCAAAATCAACAAACTCTATACGCAGACCCGGAATAGCTGGATGTTTCTGTTAATATACGACATGAAATAGTTACACAAGAAGTAGGCTCCAGAGTCAACATGTGACTGAGATGAATAGCAAATAGATTTAAGAAATATGATATATAATTTGAGTCAATCTGCTGACTCAGGAAGACACACTGTATGGGTCACATTCAGAGGGGTTTTTTTTGAGTGACAGTTTAAATTCTCAGAAACTGATGCCCCTGCTCAGCCCACTTCCTGCTGATGTTCTAGGGCCATTCCTGTATGTGCCCTGAGATAAAAGTTAGTTAGCTCTACGGTGAGATCACTCTTCAAAAGAAAAACAATCCTAGCCCAACCCCAAACTCCACCAACTCTCACTAGCATGGAAGGGAGGTTTCCTCACTTCAGAGTGGTTTTACAACTTGTCTTCACTGCAGTATTTTGTTCCAGGTACAACTCAAGTGTTACCCTTCATCTGACTCCTGTCCACAACCACAAATCTCCAGCTGAAGTTAAATGGTGCTTTAAACCTTAGCTAGATACCTAGTCATTGGTGGGTTGAAGCTCGAATACTATTTGTAGTACTTGGGCAGGTGGGTCTAGGCCTACCTCCTTAAACCAGACCACAAATGATTTCTGGGGACAACAAAAGGGGGGGCGGGGAACGGACCTGACTCATGGGAGTGAGGTCAAAGGTAAAAAATAAAGGGATCCAGAGGAGGACACTAAGCAGAGATCCCCCCTGACAACACCCACTGCTCCTCAAAGGCGTCTAAGGTGTATATGGACACTGCTTGGAGACCTGACCAAATGAGAGAACGGAAATAAACCCTACAGTCACCAACCACTCCCCCATCCAGCTTCCTTCTCTGGGTATGATGGATGGCATCTTGGCCAGCACCAGGAGGAGGTTGTTGAGGTGGTCCTGTGACTTTGTGGAGCCATGGATTGGGTGTGTGTGGATCAGGAGATGTGGGGAGAAGTGCAGCAAGGATCTCAGTAAAAGGTTTTGGAGGAGCTGGAAGAGGGGCTGTAACCTAACGCATTCTACATAGACGTGCGCCAGGATCTACCTCTCATCACAAAAAGGACAGGAGTCAGAGGACTTCATGGACTGTGCCAGGTTATGTGCCCGTGCTCACAGCTCTGTGGAGGAGCCACCAACGAATATCCCCAGTGGGCTGTGGAATACAGGCTGGTCTGCTAGGTTCCTCACTATCCATAAATGGCAGAACCTGGTGTCAGGGCAGGACATAAGCGCAAGGAAATGGATGGTGTGAAACATGAGCATGCACAGATGTTTTCTGGGTGTGGTTTGGAGGTAGACCAGCTGGATATTGTGCAGCCAGCTCAGATGTTGTGCTGGGGGCCTCATGGGGCATAGGCCTGATGGCATGTTCCAGAGGGTGAGGGGTGGGTGGAGAGCACCCTCCTGCAGGACCTGTGTGAGGAAAGCATGAGAAGCATGAGTCCAGTCTGCCCTTGCCTTCTGGGTCACATGATGGGATGCACTGGCCAACTGCTGCAGGTCCACCCAGCCCCTCTGAGCATAGTTCAGAAGGCCTCAGTCTGGGGGTGCCAGTCAGGACCAACCTCCGGCACACCAAGGGTAACTCCGTCACTTGCACACGTAGATGGGGGTTGTGTAGCAGAGGTTTGGCATGGAGATCCTCGCCTTGGCAGTTGCTACGGACCTGGGTGCTGACACTAGCTTCCAGCTCCTGGGGAGGTCCCAGTCAAGAAGATCTCAGGGGAGATGTCTCAGGTGGAGATAAAAGAGCTGCTGGTCTCTGAGGCTGTCAAGGCTGCTTCCCCACTCTGAACTTTAGGGTACAAATGTGGGGGCCTGCATGAAAACTTCTAAGCTTAACTACTAGCTTAGATCTGGTCCGCTGCCACCATTCCCAAGTGGATTCCCTTCCCTGGGAAGCCTTGAGAAACTCTTCACCAACTCCTAGTGAATACAGATCCAACCCCCTTGGATCTAAAAACAAGGAGAAAATCAATCGGGTTCTTAAAAAGAAACCTTTTTTCTTTAATTAAAAGTCAAAAATCATCTCTGTAAAATC